AATTTCAGGCTATTTATCTCGCAAAGCTTTGATTGTACAGTACGCATGGCCTCCGAGCAGTCGCAAACATCAACTGCAGGCACTTCGCCAATTGTACATAGATAGAGGCTTCCCTGCAGACTTGTTGACCTGAAAGTGTCAAAACTCCGATTTCTTGGGTCTTGCACGACATTTGCATCGTTGGATGTGTACATATTTCTTCAATACTGTAAGCTGGGCTCGCGACGACTTTTATAGTCTGCCCCTCGGGTACCCCAGCTATGGCATCGTACGTCTTTCAGTTCTTCTGCGGCGAATCCCAAGGATCCAATCCGCAGCCACGTGTTCTTGCATTGCAAGGACCAGTTGAGGAAATACATCCTCAACCCCGACCGAGACCAGCCTTATCACATCGGGCACACAATGCCTCCAGATCCCCTTCGAGGCGTCGTGCTAGAACTTCTCGCTCACGGAGGCCACGGCGAAGCCGTACACCGAGAAGGACCCGACCACAGGTGAGTACACCAAGGTATCCTCCGGGCAACTGGCGAGCCCCAGCACCTTGGGTTCCACCACCAAGGCAGGTCATGCCGCCACCTTCAGCACCACTGCCTCCACCTTTTCCTCCCCCGGGCAATGTGACAGCATACTGGGTTCCACCACCGCCGCCTTTGTCACCACCAGTGGCCACACCTTTTGCGGCTCCAGATCTGCGGAAGCCAGCTGAACCTCGCACACCGCCGAGGTTAGCCAGGCCCAACAAGGCACCGCAACAGCCGGTGCCAACAGTACGAGCCCCAGCAGCTGATCTTCCGGGCCCAAACCAGCCCACAAAGCAGGCCAAGAAAGGGCCAGCGGCCTCCAATCAACTGGCCCCATTGGAGAGCCAGCAACAGATTGATGATCAGTTTTTTCGGAGCCTCATGTGTGCCAACATCAATGATGTTGAAGACCAGCTGGAAGTCCAGCTGTCGGGATTTTCAGCAACAGATCATATACCGGGAGGGATGACCACCCTGAGCCAATACCTTTTCTACCGTCAACAACTTTTAACGGCTCCTTTCCCGGATCAATGGGTTATGGCTCCCTGGCAAGCACTGCGAAGCAATGCAGCCCGGACGGCAATGGTTCGTAAGTACCAGCGCCCCTTCGCATCTCTCAAAGACCCTGAGAGACAACGATGTGCCCGGTTTTTGCTCAGTTTGTTTCCGGAGCCTGTGCCACAGAATACAATCGGCACAGAAGAGTTTTTTGGCTTCGTGGACTGCATTTTGCAGTCCAGACTTCACTATGAGAGGCACTTCGAAGAAGGTGCACAGCTGTGGACCAGGGCATGAAATCTCGCCAGATTGTTCTCATATCTGGTGCATGCATTCTTGCCCTTAATGTGATTGCTAGGCAATAAGCCTGCAAAAACCACTCCAGAACAATTCTTGGTTGAGTGGAAACACTTGCAGGCGAGCTGTACAACTCCTGCACCCCAATTGGGGTTTGTTGTACTTCTGCCGTAAAAAGAAAATGTATCTTCGTGAGGTTCCAGGCCAGCTACACCATGATCCGTAGGGAGGATCTTGCCTGTAGCCAAAATGCCGGTGTTTCCACTCAACCAAGAATTGTTCTGGAGTGGTTTTTGCAGGCTTATTGCCTAGCAATCACATTAAGGGCAAGAATGCATGCACCAGATATGAGAACAATCTGGCGAGATTTCATGCCCTGGTCCACAGCTGTTCTTCGGACAAACGCTGGGCAATTCGGTTCGCGGCAGCTCGAATTGATTTTGTGTTCGTTCTTTCAGAACGAAGCAAAGCTGACTATCCTCAGCAACAGAGCCGACAGCGCCGCAGAACTAAAGTTAAAGCTGTCGGAGATGAGCCTACTTTGGCTCTGGCAGATGGCCCTCCAGATGACGACTGGGGCCCATGGGCTGATCCAAAAGCCCCTAAGATAGAGCTGCCTGAGGAACCGGAAGAAGAGAACCTCATGGCAGCAGCGGCAGCTTTTTCAAATGCTTCAGCTGCAAGCTGATTCAATTCGTACAGCAAGAAAAGAATGTGCATGCCTCGTGTGCTTAGTGTTCAATGTTGCAAGATCCTGCATATGCAAATCTATGCCAGGATATAAAGTTTTGGCTCCCATGCTGTCTGGTCTGTGTATTGGCCATGGATCAAGCTGTGGAGCATCGGCAGCCTTCACCTGTTTCATCAACGTCCTCGTGGCATTCTGCTTTTGATCCTCCTGAAGAAGCTCGTTCTTCTCGTGAGCAGAAGATAAGTCTCAAAGACGAAGCTTCTCGCAAGAAAAGCAAGAAGCATAAATCCAAGAAATCCAAAAAGATTTCAAAGGATAAGGATCAAGCCAGTGAGAAACATTCTTTTGCAGTTGAGTCAACCACCTCCCGCGTTGTCTACACCGGGGACGTGGTAATTGATGCCATTTGCAACAGCAAGCCTGTTTCTGCCCCTACTGGGACCAATACCAGGGTGTACAAAGGCAAAGGAGTAGCCAAAATGATGGCTCGAAGCGGTTTTCGGTGTGCATGCCATTATGTGCGTGCCCACCTTTGTCCCTTTAGGCTCATCGCCAATGAATTTGGCGCCGAGACACAGTTTCACACTTCAGAGTAAAGCCATTTAGAGCTTCGTTGTGTTAGCCAGAAAAGGCAATCTTCCTTCTGAGTGATTTCATGCCGAAAACCTGCGACAATTTTCATCAACTGCAGGCTTCATCGCCTTTATTCAGTAATCCACTCTCTCTACAAAGCCACATGTCGGCCCTGTCGCTGGTTGTGTCCGAACCTGCCATTGTGGCAAGAGTGGTATCTTTTGTTTCATCGCGAAAGCACATCTTCTTCTTCTACTACAATCCGGCGTTTTGGACCGAAGAAGATCGCGATCAACTTGAGCTTGAAGACTCTTCCGAATCAGAAGAGCCATACCCGGACAGTGCAGCTCGTGTCATTTCTGATCGCATTCGTCAACGCTTTCGCTCTGTTCTGCCTGCTGATACTTCACTTGCACTTGGGAGCCTTAATTATGGGTCCATTCGCGAACATTTTGTACAAAGAGAGTGCCCAGCACAGCCACCTGGCTGGCCCAATGTACTCTATGTACCTGTAATGTACAACGCGGCACCAATGCCACAGATCACCTTCTATGGGGCGGTCAACCGAGTCTTCTTTCGATCTGTCCTTTATCTCTATAAAGGAACACTGTACATTGCTTTTCGGCAATTGCTGTTACAATCTCAGCAGAAAGCCATCTTTTTTGATTGGCTCTGCACCGGTCGAGAAGATCGATTCCGAGTGAGTTCTACTCTTATTTCCGATTTGCGAGTGTTTCGTGTCATTTCACCCCTGGCCGATCTGCCATAATCATCTGATGGCGACGCTGAAAAGACCACGGCTGATCGTAGAAGATCCTTGTTTTCAACGATTTCACTGCTGAAATACCTCCGTAGTCTGTGGCTTTCAGTGGAGTGTACTGAGTACATCATGTCGGACCGGAGCCGATCTCGTTCTCCGCAGATTTCATGGCGTTTCTACTGGTCTAAAAGCACGGCAGCTGATGGTCAAGACCATTGGTGGAAAACGTGGTTCCCTGCGACCCAGCACTGGATCCAAACTCGCCTCACTGCGGACAGGTTCTGGAGCTCAAGCTCATATCAGCCCGAGACTACCAGTGCTCCCTCCAATCGCACTGATTGCTCTGAGTCTCCTCGAAAAAGGAAGAGGAACACTTCTCCGTGAAAGTTCATTGCTGCATGTTTAATTCGGTCTTGCCAGCATTCAAGCTGGCCATCAATTTCTTTAACAGTATGTAAGGCTGCGTACCCATAAATGGGACTCGCAACCACCATTGATCTGTGTTACACAGCACCGACTGGGCGGTAGTGTAAAAATGCGCCCTAATATTCCTTGATACTGTGACGCCATCAAGGCTACCCCGCTATGCGGGGTGTGTGTGTGGAACACCTGTTTGCCAAGGTTTGCAGATTTGCATAGTTTGTGCAGGGGGGCAACCCCGTGAGCATAGCTGGTTGCCCAACGAAGAGGGCTATGCCACGGCTGATACTGGGTCTGGTCAACCCAGCGTACCTGCCAGTGTTTCGCAAGTGTTATGGCTTGGGGCTAAGCCGAGAACCCCAATAAGTGTGTGTGATGTTACTGCCTAGTGGCTTAAAATCCTATACCTCTATGTTGAAAGACTGAGTTCCGACAATTACCATCAGTCCAGAGGGAGGATTGCACGAGTGTGTGTGTGTGTGTGTCTGTGTGTCTGTGTCTGTATGTCTGTGTGTCTGTGTGTCTGTGTGTCTGTGTGTCTGTGTGTCTGTGTGTCTGTGTGTCTGTGTGTCTGTGTGTCTGTGTGTCTGTGTGTCTGTGTGTCTGTGTGTCTGTGTGTCTGTGGGTCTGTGTCTGTGCGTCTGTGTGTCTGTGGGTCTGTGTGTCTGTGTGTCTGTGTGTCTGTGTGTCTGTGTGTCTGTGTGTCTGTGTGTATGTGTGTCTGTGTGTCTGTGTGTCTGTGTGTCTGTGTGTCTGTGTGTCTGTGTGTCTGTGTGTCTGTGTGTCTGTGTGTCTGTGTGTCTGTGTGTCTGTGTGTCTGTGTGTCTGTGTGTCTGTGTCTGTGTGTCTGTGTGTCTGTGTGTCTGTGTGTCTGTGTGTCTGTGTGTCTGTGTGTCTGTGTGTCTGTGTGTCTGTGTGTCTGTGTGTCTGTGTGTCTGTGTGTCTGTGTGTCTGTGTGTCTGTGTGTCTGTGTGTCTGTGTGTCTGTGTGTCTGTGTGTCTGTGTCTGTGTCTGTGTCTGTGTCTGTGCGTGTGTGTGTTTCTGTGTGTGTGTGTGTCTGTGTGTGTGTGTGTGTGTGTGTGTGTGTGTGTGTGTGTGTGTCTGTGTGTGTGTGTATTCATCTATATACCTATAAGCCAGAACTGCATGACATTATAGCTGCACCGTACACATGTGAATATTCATGAATAAAAAAGTGCAAAAAGATGCATGTATGTGTAGACATGAAGATGCAAGGAGCCAGGACAAGCTTCTCCTTGCACGTCGTCAGCCTCAAAGACTATAGGGGCCAGAGTTTGGAACACTCCAACATTGAACAGTGTGTGGGGCATACTGGGCTGTAATTACAATAAGGAACTCTCTCTCAATATGGAACCTTACCAATAAAGGAACAATGTATCGGGGCATCTTAGACTGTAGTTACAATAAGGAGCCCTTGATAACAAGCGAGCAGTGTCTTGGGGTATATTGAACTGTAACTACAGTAGGGAATGCTAATATTCGAATTTGGGTCTGTTTAGGGTTGAGGGTTTCGCGGTATTCGGGTGTTGGGTGTTAGAGTTTGGGGTTCGGGCACACCTAGGACGATGGCTTTGGTTCCATGGAGAGCAAGCTTCCGAAGATTCGGGAGCTTCGGTTCGTTTTTGGGCTCGATAGGGTTCTATAAGAGTTCTATAGGATTCTGTAAGGGCTCTATAGGGTTCTATAAGTTCTACAGGTTTCTGTAAGGGTGGTCTTGGGCGTGTCAAGTCTTCTCCGAATCAAACTCCTTTGGCCAAGCCGTGTGCTCGTTCATGCAGCTTCTTTGAAAAGGACGCTGGGAACGCTGGCTCCGAACGTACTAAGAAATTACAAACAAACAAGCGTATGTATACATAATGTGTGTATGTATGTGAATGCTTGCATATGCATGTAGTTACACACACACATATATATATATATATATACATACATACATATATGTGGACATGCATACGGTGTACATACATACATACATACATACATACATACATACACATACCTACATACATACATGCTCGTAATATTCCTCTTGCGTGAGTGTAAACATTTATATACACACACCTGTATATATATATATGTAGAAAAAACCGATCAATATATCGATAGATAGATCAAAACAGGTAGATAGATACATGGGCAGGTAGACGATTGATAGGTAGATGCATAGATAGATCGTGAGCTAATTAACCTTGCTTGCACTCTGAAATTGCGCCTCAAGTGGGCGCGCAACGAGCAAGCGCAGATTTCTAGAACCCACCAGTCAGGCATCTCCATCACCCCCTTCGGCAGGTCTAGTGTCTGGGAATCGGGATCGGAAGATCGCGCAATCTTAGTTGCTGAGTTCATAAGCCCCCCAAAGTGCACACTTTCAGTTTTATATAGTGGGTAATATTATCCCAAAAGGCGTTGGTGTGTCCACTCAGCAAGTAAGGCAAGAAGGCATAGCAGTTAATGGCTTCAGAGATGTCGAGCCTGCGGTTGCAAGACTCCATGCGACTCCGTATCCAGGTTCGGATACTGGAAGTTTGGGATTGGGTATACATCCCCAGCTGCTGTCACAAATCTGATACAGTGTGCATGCCAGGCAATCTAGAATTTCAGTGTTAGAGAGGCCTGTTTAGAAGTGTTTCTGCAACCGGGTGTCCAGCAAGCCATACATCCCAAACCCGAAACCCTAAACCCCAAACCCTAAACCCGAAACCCTAAACCCCAAACCCTAAACCCTGAACCCGAAACCCTAAACCCGAAACCCTAAACCCCAAACCCGAAACCCTAAACCTGAAACCCTAAACCCGAAACCCTAAATCCTAAGCCCGAAACCCTAAACCCTCAACCCCAAACCCAAGGCTGCTTTGCGTCCACGCTGCGACAGCAACGTGGCCAGGGAAGCTTTGCCACCCCACCTTTAACTTTACTTGGAGGCTCATGGGTAGTGATAAAATGTAGGGTAACTGTACTTATGACCCATATTAGGGGACTTCTTACCCCACTTAAAACTATACCTTAAACCCTAAATCTTATAGAACCCTTAAAGGAACCCTAGACCCCAATCTCGGGTTCCTGGAGATCGCCCCAGCTTTGAGGGTTTAGGGGTTTCGGGTTTAGGGTTTAGGGGTTTAGGGTTTAGGGTTTAGGGTTTAGGGTTTATGGGTTTATGGGTTTTGGGCTTAGGGTTTAGGGTCTGACTGCCAGTGCTTTGGCATGACACACACCTAGGTCTCTGTTGTTTGCAAATATAGGTGGTTGTCAAAATTATGGTCCCCTTTTTGGGTCCTTATTATGGTACGGCACCTAATATTTAGGGTACCCCAAAAAGGAGCATTAATTTTGACAGCTACCCATATATCTGTGGAGACCATGGCAGCCGAGGAACTCCTTCAATTCCTCGCACTTCTCCTGAGCGCCACCATCACATCATCGTATCTTACACCGGGCATATATGGGAGTTTCCGAAAATGGGGGACACTAGAATCGACCCCAGAATAAGGTGGCCCCTATTTTCGGAAACTCCCATATAAGGCACCATAGGAACCTTTGCAGCTCACGGCCATGTCTGTCCTGAGCCTCTCTCTTCTTTTTGTCCTTGTCGCTTTCCTGGTTCAGGGTATGCTTGGAGGTTCATGGGTAGTTAGAGGTGGGGTCATAAGTCCCCTACTATGGTTTCTAAGTATAGTTACCCTGCTTATAAACCTACTTATAACTGCACAGAGTAATGTAAGAACCTGATTTAGAAGCCTTGGGCCTTTGTTAGAGTTCCTTATATGAATCCTACTCTTATGGGGTCATAGGCCCAGGGTTTCTTAATCAGGTTCCTACGTTGTAGGGATACAAAAAACATGTACGAGGTACGAGGTTGAATTCGCAAATGTGGCACACATCCTGGTTTTGGGTTTAGCGCTTAAGGATACAAGCAAATTAGAGGCACATGCAGTGGCGATGTCAGAGAGCGTGCGTTCGTTCCAGCTGCTGGACATGCGGTGTGTCTCGGATGACACCTCAAGTAGAGGCCTAAAGGAAGAAAAACGGCTTTTGTCAAGGTTCTCTATGAAAATTAACATACATAATACACCCCGCCGCAAAACCCTATGCTAATTAAGGCCCTCCCTATATTGAGTATAGACTCGGATCCCGCCTGCGGGGTTACCTCCAAATCCGCGAGTGCGTCGATGTCAACAAAAGGGCTCTTCGGGGACGCGTGGATTGGCGTGAACTCTGCCTGCAACCGACGGCTCTGCTTTAAGGGGCATTATCCTACAGTCTACAACCTGAACCCCACAGCCCTAAACGCTCGTACCCTAATAGAAGGGCCTTGATACTTAGAATAGGGTTTTGGGGCATAGTGTACCATGGTTATAATAAGGAACCCCTACCCCCTAAACCACCCGGTACTGCTGTACTAGGCCAAGACAGAAGCATGCTCTCAAGAGGATGCCACCTGACACAACGCTCGGCCCTTTTGGACCTCTCTCCGGGCAGGGTTAGGATTTAGGGTTTAGGCTTTAGGGGTTCGGATTTGGGGTTGAGGGTTGAATGCAGGTGCCAGCGTAGCAGCAGTAAGCAGTGGAAAGAGCTACTATTCCTCGTTCGTCCGAGCTCTGCATCAGTTCATGCCACGGGTTCCTCTGCCTTCGCGGGGAAGGGCCTAAAACCGACGGGGAAGGGCCTAAAACCGAGTCTGAACCGTAAGCTCACTGCCCCGACACATTGGGCCATCCACAGAAATCTGTTTCTGCATGTTCAGGTACAGCTCTCATCATCACGTCACCTACTAGTCTCGGTTGTAGGTGTGGGGCCCTTAAAAGCAATTGTGAGTAGGGACTCTTTCGGAAGCATAAAGGCAAACTAAAGAGCAGAGTTTCCCAAAGTGCCACCTAGCTATCTACCTGACCATGCATAATGCAGGCGCCTTTATAATTGGAATGGGGTTTAGCGGGGTATATTATCATAAAATATGGAGCCGCAAAGCCCTATTCTAATTTTGAGGCCCCTGCATTACGCCCTTCTCCAGTCTGGCGGTCCCGCTGTTCAGCCGGGCCTTCCCGTTTATGCTATGGGCATTTCGACAAACAAGGGACTGTCATATAGCACCCCGAAAGATAGGATACTTATAACAAGGACCGCACTTAATCATACGGCTTTAGACGACAACGCATAAGGACCCCACATACGGTACCCTGATTTTCTGAAACTCCCCTGTCTGCACATCCGGTCTCGTCATTCTGGCTGGGCCTCGCTTCGCTCGCCCGGCACCGCTTCGGACATCGCCCCGCGCGGAAGCTGCAAACTGGCGTCCGGATGAAGTTTTTGGAGCACAAAATGCTGAGCCGGGATGCGTCAATAGCCCAAACGCTATGCCTTACCCCTGTGGTGCTTCAACACAGATGCAACCAAGACAGAACGTGCATGCAGCAAAGCATAGGGCTGTCATGTGCTTCAGGGCTTCAGGCTCAAGGTGTATAGTTTAGGCTGTCAGGCTTGAGGCTTCTGTAGACTGAGAAGTTTCTTGCAGCATGTAGAACACATGCTTGGAGTTATCTAACTCCGATGCCCAACTCATGCGTTGAAACCCCTGTCTCATCCGGTGATTGCCCCATGTAGGACTCAAGCCCTCCTCTTTCAACTCCGAAAGCACGACTGTCTCCATACGTGCGGACTACTGCCGAATCGTGATGCGAACCCGAACCCAAGGAGTTAGTCTGCGTCGTAAACATTCGATGATCGCTCTTCTTCTTGAAGTGGGCCCAGGCTCAGCCTCAGCCATCACCGATGAGGCGTTAGCACAACGACGTCGACGGGTGAACCACACATAAACTCAAACCAGCGAGCAGCGAGACGTACGCAGCAATGCCTAGAATCTGCAGCGTGGCCGCCTGCCTGTACATGCCTGTACTCTCCCTCCTGCTCCTCATGCCCTGCTCTCTCCGGATATGATATGCCCGATATGCCCTATAAGTCCTTCCCAGAAAGTGTGTTTAAAAAGCGTCCGAAACGATCAAACCCAAAACACACTGGGCATCTCTTTTCGACCGGGCATCTCCAGCCGAGGAACCAAGGGACGGTTGTACACCAGGTGAACCTCCAGACATGTCTTTCGTCTGATCGATGCATTTCCTTCCACATCCGTGGAAGCATCGACGCTCTCCGGAGGGCTGCTTTGGCCTCTCTTTTTGGAGGACTCTGCTGGCAAATCTCGCGACAGACAGCATGCCTCTAGTGTCGTAAATCGGTGGTCCCGAGTCTGCCTCTGGGAACACCGCGGCCGGGGCGGCTCGGTGGGCAGAGGAAGGAGTGTGCCGAGTTCCTCTGAGAGCCGCAAGGCTTCTTCGTGTGGAGATGCTGTTGGGGACCATCTCTGCGACGACTCTGGCACCAGGGCCACATGCGACGCAGTGGCCAAAGCTGAAGCAGATTGCCTTGGCGGAGTGGGTGGAGGCGGGGTGAGCGTGCCGAGTTCCTGTGGCAGCCGATCAGCTTTTCTGCATGCGCAAACCGTTGAAACCCACGCCGACGATTCTGACACCGGCGGCGCAGTGCTCGAAGGTGAGGCTGTATGGCTGAGCGGAGTGGGTGCAGTAGGCCTCGCCTCGCCCGCAGGCACCTGGGGGGTGGTCATCATTGGAATTCTGCCGATTTCCTGCGGCAGCCGCAGGGCTTTTCTGTCTGGGAGCCCACATCCGGTTGCTTTCCATGCTTGTGACTCTGGCACCAGCTGCACGCGCAGCTCGAGGTTTGAAGCTGAAGCCTGGCTTGCTTTTGTCGCTGTAGGACGCAACGCCACTCGCGGTTCCTGTGGCTTGCCTGCATGCAACTTCGGTCTGGTCATGATGGGGGCCGGTGCCGGGGAGAGCACGCGTGACATGCAGCTTTGCCAACCTCGGCCCAAAACCCAAAGAAATAAAAGTTGAAACTTTCAGAATCGACTAACTTATAAGAACCCCAAAAGTTGAAAAGTTGAGTTTACAGCCAATAAGCAACTTTGCATCTTGGACAGCGAGTCTGGCGTGGACTCACTCGATGGCTGCTGGGGCTGAGGCCAGCTTGGAGGGGGTGGAAGCGAGGAGGGCGGAGACTCGCTCAACGGCGGATGCCGGATCGCTGCTGTTGGAAGGGCCAGGGCCGGCGACTTCGCAACAGTAACAAGTGGCTTGGCCAAAACCAACCTGCACTCTATTTCTAGTGGACGCCCTCTTTGCGACGGCTGCGCCTCTCCCTTTGGAACAAGCTGGCCCGGTAGTCGTGGTGGCAGCTCTCCAATGCTAATGCTAGGTCTGGGAGGGGCCTCTGGCAAGTGCGCATGCGGTATGCGACCTTGCGGTTCGCCATACCTATACTGAACTTAGAACCCTGCAAAAATTATAATTTTAGCTGTTTCTTAGGGATTATAATAACCAAAAATGAAAAATTGTTTCTAAGTACCCCTAAGATACCAGGACAGAGAGTCTGGCATGCTTCGGCTGGAGGGCTCGGTTGACCAGCTTGGGAGATGCGGATCCGGCAGCGTAGGCGGCGACTGCTGTGGCACTCCCGGCTGACGCCGAAGAACCTTTGCCTGAGTTGTCCTTCAAGCCCTTTGAAAGTTATTTACAGTTATGGTTCTCTACAAAATAGTATGGGGGAAATTTAAAAAGATCCCAAAACTTACCTTTGGTTAGTAGGGAATGGAGGAATGGGGTAAAATTATAACTACTATTACTAGCTGGGTTGCTGGCATCTTCATGTCCGCTAGCGACTTCGGGACCAACTTCATCCTTGGGGTGATCGGTGAGGTGCCATGGAAGTCAACAAGCACGACCAAGGGAGCGTGGGGCGACACATTGCTGGGAGTCAGCAGCGAGAACTCGGGAGCCTGCCGTATCTGTTGCTTCCGCATCTTGCTCATCGGCAGCTGCGGCTGCATCTCCAACAGGGTTGGCGTGCGCGATAGGCTGACATTGACTGCCTCAAGAACAGAAAAGCTGCAAATAGCACCGAATGCCGCGAGGACAAGAGTGATGTTGGCAAGCAACATCCAACTCGGCCAAGGGCTGGCAACAATGACATCGGTTGTGGTAGTGGTGGTCGTGGCTGTTGTGCTAGTGCTCGAGGTGCGGGTCTGTGTGCTGGATGTGCTGGATGTTTGAGTGCGGGTCGTGCTGCTACTGCTGCTTAAACTGGAAGTCGTGGATGTACTCGTACTAGAAGTTCCAGTTGTGGATGTTGTAGAGCTGCTGGTAGAGCTGCTGCTCGTGTGAGATGTGCTGCTCGAACTTGAGGTTTGGCTGCTCGACTTGGTTGAAGAGCTTGTAGTCCTTAGTTGCCGAGTTCATAAGCCCGATTTTTTAACTTTCAGCTTCAAGAGGGTTTCATGAGTTTTATGATCCCAAAAAGTTTAAAGTTTATAAACTCAGCTACTAAGAGTCTGTGTTGTTGAAGTCGTGGTGACGGAAAAGGACCACAGGTCCCCACAGAGGGTGCCATTGTACCTGGGCTTCGGGAAGAAAGTAGGGTTTAGGGTTTAGTGTTTAGGGTCATTTGCATAAGCATCCCTTTAAGGACCAGCCCAAACAAAACAGCAATGAATTACTTGTCCAGCATCGTACAAAAATACAAGTTATCCTTCAAGGGGCTATAACCCCTCCACCCCTCAAAAAACAAACACAAAAATACTTCGACCTTCTCTGCTACTGAGGTACCCCCCGTGGATGTAGATGATTTGATTTCCACTGTCCCAAGCGGCTACATGTGACCAGCGTCCCGATGGACCAGCGTGCTCTGCTGAAATCAAACTCCAGATGTTCTGCTCTGACTCGTATCTCCAAAGGTCTTGTTTGGGGAAGCCGTCGTTGCCGCCGTGCAACCAAAGCATGCGGCTTTGGTCATCCCAAACGGCTGTGTGGCCTGACCTCGCACTTGGACCGGCATCGAATGAGATTTCTCTCCAACTTCCGGTGGATGCATCCAAAGTCCAAAGATCCCCCAGTAGCAGAGAGTCGCCGAAGCCGCCATGTATCCAAAGTGCCTGGCCAACCCCATCCCACGCGGCAACATGGTGCGATCGTGCCGGTGGCGCGCCACTTGGCGCCAACTCCCACCATCCGTGACCCTGATCACTGTAGCTCCACAAGTCTGACAAACGGCTAGTGCCGGTCCAGCCACCATGCACCCAAAGAGAAAAGGTGCCTGGAACCCAGACGGCCACATGCCCCTGCCTTCCGGCCGGTCCGGCATCATTCGACACCTGCACCCAAATGCCAGAACGAAATCTCCACACGTCTCGAAACCAGGTGGCTGTTTGGCTGTTGTGCCCGCCATGAACCCAAAGAGCCTGGTTGGCAGAATCCCAGCCAGCAGCATGCAAAGTCCGTGCTGCCGGCGCCTCAGCCGTCACTGTGCGGGTCCAGGAATCGGAGGTGGCGTCGAAGGCCCACAAATCCTGGGCTGTAGCTTTGGGGCCCTTGAAAGTCTGTGTGAAGTACCTCTATAAGAACCATAAAAGGAAGTTAAACAGCTTGCCAAAGGTGCCACCTAGAATCGCCTTCCAGGTTGCTTCCGCCATGGATCAGCAGTACTTGCCTCGCCTCGTCCCAGGCACCGACGTGCTCGGACCGTGCCGCCGGACGGACGAGGCCGGCGTCCGTCAAGTCCGCCAGGCGGCTCCACCGTCCCAAAGCCATACACCACGAGCAGCAGAAAGGCAGCCAAGCAGCAACCGGGCGACTTACCATGCTGGGATCCGACGCAAACCCACCCCGAACGCAACCCCTAGTTGCCAGATGCTCATGCATTTCTGAACCGACAAATGCATGGACTACTTGGAGGCTCATGGGTGGTTATGAGTAGGGTTATAAGTAGGGTATCTATACTTGTAACCTTTATTATTGGGGGACTTATAAGCCCACTTATAACTCCCCATGAACCTCCAAGTATCTTGCTGACTCTACAACAGCTATGGCCCCCAAGAGCTCAAGCACGGAACAGGCCACCAATCCTTCGGATGAGGTGGTACTCGGGCCACATCGACGACGGAGCAACCGCTGTCGTACGCAATATAGGGGCCTTAAATTGAAGAGGTTTTGGGGCAAATTTGGGGGCATATAATAAGGAACCCGAAATAGTGTGGGTAATTATTTAGGCCCCTATAGCTGGACCTCTGCCCGCGATCGAACACTGCCCCACCAATTCATTGGTCGAAGGCCGAAGATACACAGGTACATGGCGAACCTTGGCAAGCTCTCCGTGAAGGCCAGAATTACACAAGGTGCCGGCTCATGTCTGAAGCTCGAAATACCACGACAAAAAAAACTTGTCATGTGCACGAATAAAACTCCTTCACTAGTTGCAAGCTTTGCCAGCTTTCGGGCTGCTTTTTCGGATTTCGCGAAAGCGCTGTGCGATTGCAAACCCTTTTTTGGACGAGGTCTCTCTGACATGAAAGCCCTAAACCTATCCAAAAAGAAAGCAACGAACTAGCCAGTTAAGCTTTAACAGAGGCAGCTGCGATGCTTTTCTCTGGGGGCACCACCACGGAGATCAAGCGTAAAGGAGCTACTGTATGGCTTCGCAGAGTGCATCATTGCTGCATCGGCGGGCCCAAAGCGTCCCTCTTTGTTTTGTCGGTGCAGGGATGTAAAGGCAAGCCGAGGCAAGTTTGACTCTTGCAAATTTTGTTGGGACCAGCCGTGGCTCGTCTTGAGCCGGCTAACACCAAGAATTGAGCTAAACTAGGAGGTGTCTTCTGAAGGTGCCAGCAGCGCACGATGCATGAAGCTAACATTCGTATCCGACCCGCATTAGTATGAATGATACTCTGTGTACAAAGTTCAAACCCGCAACGCGAACTTTCTCCTGAAAGGCTCTTCTGACACAACACTGCGCTGGCATACCCTAGTGCTCCAGTTACCGTGACTAAGGGGCTACTGGGTTGCATACATGATGATAACTTGCAGTTCAAAACAGGCAACTCAAGTCCAGGAATGTGTCATTACTGACGCTTGCTGCAAGAATGAAACTGCTTTCGTAACGACAATGCACACAGCTCTGTCCCTCTCTTTGAATCACAGCAAGACAGACAAACAAATAGACAGAAAGATTGACAAACGAGACGTCGATTTAGAGGCTACATCAGATGGTCCGACATTAGGATAGTACTGCACATGCCGAGTAACAAGGATGTGCTCTTAAGATGGTTTAGAGCAAGTGTAGTTGGTAGGGGGTGCCTGCTACTACTACTACTACTACTACTACTACTACTACTACTACTACTACGATGACGACTACCACTACTACCACTACCACTGCCACTACTCACTACTGCCAATGCGACTGCGACTGCGGCGGCGCCTAAGACTACAGCCACGACTACTGCGGCAGCTACTTCTTACTCCTACTCCGACTGCAACTGGGACTGCGACTACTGCTACCACTACAACTGCCCCACACCGCGACTGATACTACTACTGCTACTACTACTACAGCCTCAACGCTGCGACCACAACGACGATTATTACCACAGAACACGATAGGACAGAAAACAATAATGATAGTTCAAGTATAGTGCAAAACAATCTCTGTAAAAACTGCCAACATATGAAGGAAAAGAATATACAACAGGATAAAACAATAGAAGAATATGAAACAACACGAAATCATACCAAGTAAGATAAGGCAAAAAAATAACACTACATGAAATGCTGCAAAGGAGTATTAAACAAAGAACAATATCAAACAATATGAATTTTGTATAAAATGATACAAAACGAGAAATAAATACCATCTTGATATACTCTGCGATTTTCTACCTATACAAGGATCGACGGATCGATAGACAGACAGGTATATAGACATGTGTATGTGTATGTATATGTATGTATGTATGTATATATACATATATGTGTGTGTGTGCGTGTGTACATAGGCATATTGAGAGCACACAGCAGCAGTTCGCTAGTGGGAATAATCGTCCTCAGCGCTATCAGCCTCGTCATTGTAGCAGTGCGGACAATGACACGGCCGCGTGTGTGTCACAGATATGCTACCTGTATGTGACGACAGTCGTAGCCATAGATAAAATCGAAATCGGTGTTCTTTTCTGCTCTTGTCAGGCTCTAGTATAACATAACACATTGTACTATAATGTGTATATATATATATATATATATACAATAATATGTATGTATATATACACACATGTCTCAACGTTGACTCTACTTGTACCTGTGTAAGCACGATACGTCGCACGCGCTGGCTCCCTTGCTCGCTCTCAACTTTGAAGAGCGCAGAGAGCAAGGAGCCCTTCCTTGCCGCTTGGCACATCTGGCACAACCCACTTGGAGGTTCATGGGCAGTTATAAGTGGGATTATGAGCAGGACAACTACTTCTACTTATAACCCATATGAAGGAACTTTTAAAACCACACTTATAACTAGCCATGAACTTCCAGGTACTGGCACTGCGCGGAGAACGCACGCTTTCACTGCCGATGAGGCCTCAGAAAAACTGTCAACTTTCATGGCATGGTGGTTTCTGAAACGACTTGGGCGGCCCATACACCGAATTGTGCCGGAGGTGCGTGAGCGCGTTGAGCATATCGTAATTGTCTTGATCCGGCATCCGGAAATGAGAACTTGTAGAGGCGATCCTCGGCTTTCTTTGCGCTTCGATTGTTTGCCAGGTGGGAGTTTCCGAAAACAGGGGACCCTAATATAGTACCCTAAATAGTAGGATCCTTATTATAGGGACCCCCAGATAAGGTACCCCTTTTTTCCGGAAACTCGCTGGTGGTGCTGCCGGATGGTAACCAACCAGCCAAAAAGCTTCGTCAGGATGGTTTTCAGTTTAAACCCTATAGCCCTAACTCAGTCAAAAATCAAACTCCATGTAGGTTCACATACGCGACTAAGTATACTTCCTTTCTAAATAGTAGAGTAGAGCCCTGACGTCCAGACCGTCTTCTGCACAAACCGCGTTCTGCACGCTGGGCACTACTGTTGTCCCCCAGCACTGTGAAGGAGTCTACGTCGCCAGTGCTACAGACTGTGACACTGTTCCACAACCTACTGAAGCAAGGCTCACAGCAGTGGACCCTCAACCCTATTCAGCGCCGACCCGCGATGGATACAAGTTTGCCAACGCACACAGACAGAGTGCAGAAGACGGCACGGCGCCGCTGGGATTGACGCGCTAACTAAGCAAGTATGTCCATTGAGTCTTGGTGCTTTAGCTTCAAACTCAGCGGTGTGGCAAAACACAAAATTCTTAAGTGCACCCAAGCTTCGGGGACCGCATGCTCTTTGGACTTTTCCCCTGTCTCTGCCGCCTGGACCCGAGCCTTCGCTTGCGGGGGGACAGACGTGTGCTCCGGTCTGGCATGTCCGAAAACCTCTTGGCGGACTTGGCTTTGAAGCCCAATTCGAGAACTGCGCAAGGCTTCGGCAGCTGGACATGCGGCTCACACGGAGTTGCGGGGACTGGCGGTGGCGGTCTGCTTGGCGCGCTTTGGTGCTGCCATGGTCTGCTTTCCGGCGGCTCTAACCTGCAAAGGCTGGGAGCCGGCAGGCTGGGTCGTCCCTGCCTGAGCTCCCTCTGCGGTAGAGGCTTCGATTGAGAGCAGAGCTCTCCTGGCTCCCCGATTCCTGCTCCCGATGGGTATCTCACGAAAAGTGTTTGGGGCAAGTGCAGCTGACAAAGGTCGGGGTCTTTCAGAAGCCGTCTCTGTGTCTCCATCGAGGGCCAGGCTGGCTTTTCAGGCACCAGCTGCACTCGAGGTTGGCTGTGAGGAACACTGTGGTATGGAGCCTCTGATATGCCAGAGCGCTGGGAGGGCCGCTTGGAAGGCGATTCTAACCTGGTAGAGCTGGGGGTGAAGGCTGGCGGTATTCTGTCTTGTGGTGCCGGATGCCTTGACAGGTCTTCATGCTCCCGGCTGGACACGTAATCACTCGACGGACGGTAGAAGCTGGCAGATTCACCCTTGTCTGGCTCCGGTGGCAGCACTGGCGATCTCTGAGGCTCTCTCCATGGACGCCGGCATGCTTTTGACGGAAAGTCCTGCGATTCTGGAACCAGCTGCACCCTCGGAGTAGCTGGTAAAGCGCCCAGGAAGTGAACGAAGACCACCAAAGGCGGGCATGGCGACCTTTGGCAACCGGGTGGCGGAGCAAACGCGTGAGCCGTCGGCTGTCCTTTTCTTTCTGGACACTTCGATGCTTGTGGCTCCGACAGCCGCACGTCGAAAGCTGGAAAAGGAACAGTTGCCAAACGGAGAGCATGGCAGAGAATAGACGCGATGCATGCTGCACCGCAGGCTTGTAAGATCACAAGTGACATGGTGACCACAAGGCTATCTGGAAACGGGCTGGCGATGACAAGTTGGGTCGTGGTAGTGGTTGTGGATGCGGTGGCTGTGGAAGAGCTGGACGTGACCGTCGTCTGGGTGCTGGATGTTTCCGTGGATGTCGTGTGCGTTGCTGAAGTGCTGCTTGCAGTGGTGGAAGTCGTGCGGCTGGACGTCCCAGTGGTTGAGGTACTGCTGGTAGATGTTGTCGAGCTGCTGGAGCTGGTGATTGTACTGCTAGAACTACTGCTCGTTGGCGAGGTGCTGCTGGAACTGGAAGTGTAAGTTGTGCTACTGCTCGAGCTAGACGTGCTTGTCCGGCTGGTGGAGCTAGTCGTACTCAATGTCGTGGTCGGCGAGGTGCTGCTAAGAGATGTTGTGGAACTGGTACTGGTGCTGCTGGAACTGACGGTCGTTGTAGAGGTTCTGCTGGAACTAGAGGTGCGACTCGTGCTGCTACTCGAAATGGAGGTGCTTGTCGTGGAAGTGCTCGAACTTGACGTGCTGGTTGAGGACGTGCTCGTGCTGCCAGTTGAGGTAAAGGTTCGCGATGTTGTCGTACTCAGCGTCGCGGTCAGCGATGTGCTGCTAAGAGATGTCGTGGAACTGGTACTGGTGCTGCTGGAACTGACGGTGGTTGTAGAGGTGCTGCTGGAACTAGAGGTGCGACTTGTGCTGCTGCTCGAAGTGGATGTGATTGTGGTGGAAGAGCTCGAACTTGACGTGCTGGTTGAGGACGTGCTCGTGCTGCTAGTTGAGCTAAAGGTTCGCGATGTTGTCGTACTCAGCGTGGCGGTCAGCGATGTGCTGCTAAGAGATGTTGTGGAACTGGTACTGGTGCTGCTGGAACTGACGGTGGTTGTAGAGGTTCTGCTGGAACTAGAGGTGCGACTTGTGCTGCTGCTCGAAGTGGATGTGATTGTGGTGGAAGTGCTAGAACTTGACGTTGTGGAACTGGTGCTGGTACTGCTGGAACTGGTGGTGTGACTTGTGCTGCTGCTGGAAAAGGAAGTACTTGTCGTGACGGTGCTTGTCCTGCTGGTTGAGGTAGTGGTGTCTGATGTAGAGGTACTCAGTGTCGTGGTCGATGAAGTGCTACTGGTGCTGATGCTCGAGCTGGAGGAACGTGTCGTGGAAGTGCTAGAACTGCTGCTCGTTGGCGAGGAGCTGCTGGAACTGGAAGTGTCACTTGCGCTACTGCTCGAGCTAGAGGTGCTTGTCCGGCTGGTTGAGCTAGAGGTGCGTGATGTTGTCGTGCTCAGCGTCGTGGTCAGCGAGGTGCTGCTAAGTGATGTTGTGGAACTGGTGCTGGTTGTGCTGGAACTGGTGGTTTGGCTTGTACTGCTGCTGGAAACGGATGTACTTGTCGTGGCCGTGCTTGTCAGCGAAGTGCTGCTAAGAGATGTTGTGGAGCTTGTACTGGTGCTGCTGGAACTGACGGTCGTTGTAGAGGTGCTGCTGGAACTAGAGGTGCGACTCGTGCTGCTACTCGAAATGGAGGTGCTTGTCGTGGAAGTGCTCGAACTTGACGTGCTGGTCGAGGACGTGCTCGTGCTGCTAGTTGAGGTGGATGTGAACGTATGGCTGCTGGTGCTGCTGCTCGTACTGCTAGATGAACTAGAGGTACTGGATGTGAATGTGCTGGAGGTGGTGCTGCTAGACGTCCGACTGGTTGAGGTACTGCTGGTGGACGCTGTGGAGCTGCTGCTTGTGCTGGAGGTACTGCTTGCCGTGGATGTGGAACTAGTACTTCGTGTGGTCGAGGTTGTGGTGACAGTGAAGGACCACAGGTCGCCACAGACGCTTCCATTGTATCCACCGTGGATGTAAACGACCTGGTTGTGGCTGTCCCATGCAGCAACATGTGACCAGCGCCCAGATGGACCGTCGTGCTCTGCAGGGATCAAGCTCCACAAGTTCTCCCCAGAATCGTATCTCCAAAGGTCTTTCGTGAGGATTCCGGCATTGCCACCATGCAGCCAGAGCACCTGGCTTGCGTCGTCCCAGACGGCCGCATGTCCCGACCTCGCTGTCGGGCCTCCATCGAAGAGCACTCTTGTCCAAATCAGCGTCACAGCATCCATAGTCCACAAATCTCCTAGCAAAGAGTCTCCGTAGCCACCGTGGATCCAGAGAGCTTGCCTTGTGCCATCCCACACAGCAACATGATGGGAGCGGGCCGATGGAGAATCGCCTGGTGACGAAGACAGCTCCTGCCATCCGTGGGCTTGCGTGCTGTACTTCCACAAATCTGACAAGTGCTCGACACCTGTCCAGCCGCCATGCACCCAAAGAGAAGAGGTGCCTGAAACCCAGACTGCAGCATGTGCCTGCCTCCCAGTAGGCCCGGCATCACTGGAGTCCAATGTCCATGTCCCGGACTGCAGCTTCCAAACATCTCGAAACCAGGTGGCCGATTGACCTTAGTTGCGAAATAACTCAACCTTTCACTTCTAAAGGGATGATTAGAAGACTATACGAATCCCACGAAGTGTACAGCACGCTCATTCGGCCAACTGACTGCTGTGCCCACCATGAACCTGGGCTTTGAAGTAACCAGGCAGAAAAAGTATATAGACTTCTATTTCACAATGGTTCCCTTTAGGTACTGTAACCCTAAACCCCCAAAAAAAGCGTTAAAGTATGGTAATGCAGGAACCTGATTAAGCAACCTTGGGCCTTTATTAGGGTTCCTTATATGAATCCTACTACTTTGGGGTTATAGGCCCAGGATTTCTTAATCTGGTTCCTACATTATTATAGCAACCTTATGGATCCCTTATAGTATCCCCTTACAGACCCCCTAGGCCCCCAGGGTTCCTACCTTACTCCCACTCCAAAGCCCAGGAACCCACAGGGTTTCTTAATCCGGTTCCTACATTATTACTCCAAAGTCCAGCCCTAAACCCTAAACCCTAAACCGCTACATTACTCAGTATAGGGTTTAGGGTTTAGGGTTTAGGGTTTAGGGTTTAGGGTTTAGGGTTTAGGGTTACTCCCAAGCCCAGGAACCCACAGGGCAAAAGTATTAAAGGATTGTACTCCAAACCCTAAACCCCAAGCCCTAAAACCTAAAAAGCCCAGGAACCCACAGGGCCCTACACCCTAAAACCCTAAATCACAAAACCCCTAAACCCTAAACCCCTTAAATCCCTAAACCCCTTAGATCCTAAAACCTAAAAAACTTAGGAGCGCACAGGGCCGTCTCTGCCGGATCCTACATTATTACTCCAAAGCCCAGCCCCAAACCCTAAACCCTAAACCGTTACATTACTCCCAAACCCTAAACCCTAAACCGTTACATTACTCCCAACCGTAAACCCTAAACCCGAAGCCCTAAAAAGGCCCAGGAACCCACAGGGCCGGCTCTGCCGGATCCCAACCTGCGGCGTGCGCTGCGCGGGCGGCCGGCGCCTCGGCCGTCACCGCACGGGCCCAGGAATCGGAGGCGGCGTCGAAGGCCCACAAATCCTGGGCTCTGGCTTCGGGGTTTGGGGCCCTTCAAAGTCTGTTTGAGGAAATACCTCTACAGGAACCATAAACAGGAAAACTGAAAATTTTGCCGAAAAGTGCCACCCAAAATCGCCTTCCAGGTTGCTTCCGCCATGGATCAGCAGTACTTGCCTCGCCTCGTCCCAGGCGCCGATGTGCTCGGAGCGTGCCGCCGGGCGGACGAGGCCGGCGTCCGTCAAGTCCGCCAGGCGGCTCCAGCCTCCATAATTATGATTAGTTCTACCATTATTATGAATATTATTACTATTATTCTTATCATTATGAATATTATGACTATTATTGCTGTTGTTGTTCTTCTTATTGATTTTGTGACTATTACTATTACTATTGTCAATATTGTTATGCCTCCGCGAACTACGCGAACTGCGGAGAAGAAGAGCAGAGCAGCAGCCGACATAGGATGCCCGCCATCGGGGTGCAAGGCCACGAGTACGAACTCCACACAACGCGATGTCGGACCCTAACTACTTCCGCCCCGTGGTAAGCTCCATGATTGCAATGAGCTAGGTTTCCATGCTCCTTTCATAGCTCCGACAATGTAATCCACTGGAGCCGCATCAGCGATTGAAAAGACCGGTCAATCAAGCTTTGCTGCGCTGCGCCTACGTATTGTCTGATCGAGCATGAAAGGCCCTGTGCCGTCATCGAAGCGTCGGCAGAAGTCAGCAGACACGAAACCCTAAGACATACAAGCCACGGAGTGCCACAATGCATGCAGTCTAGTTTGCGTTGCACGTTCTACGAAGTTGCGGAGCACTCAATCGGCGTTTGCCGATTGTGGCTCGCTTCGTCGACTGTTGCCTGTGGTGACATTCGCCACCTGCTGGTCAAAGTGAAACGAAGGCAGGCATCGAACAAGGGCTTAGCATAGGGTCCTCGATGATTAGAGCGGAGTTTTGGTGATTTTGACGTAGTATACTAAAACAATGAGAAGGAACCCCCAAGGAGCAGTCATAATACAAGTACGTAGCTATTCTGGCTTCTGTGTTAGTGCTTTGCGCTGGGATGTTTGAACCCCGTCTCGGAGGAATGAGGTTGGGCGTAGGGTTTAAGGGTTGAGGATTTGGGGTTGGAGGACTTTGGGTTTTTGTCGCTCTCGGAGGACTTAGGGTTGACCTGGGCCCTAAGGAACCTACCTGTTTATGGTCCCCTAAAATGATTTCTTGATATGAGTCCCTAAAAAGGTAAGTTATTTGGGGTTAAGGCAGGGCTTAGGATCTACCTGAACCTACCAAAGCCTAACTTCTTTGCGGGTTCTTAATATACACCCGAATATAGATTTCAATCGGACCCTACCAAAAGATAGGTTTCGTGGGTTAAGGTGGGATAAAACATTTTATGGAATATAGGGGTTGAGGATTTAGGGTGTAGGATCTCAGGTCTTGTCTGGAGTATAGGGGAAGAGATGCTGCCAATCCGCTCAGATCACGGCGACTGTTCCGGAGCGTGCATTGCCTGCAATGGACGGGACGCTGACTCCCTGGTGCTTAGTAGGGAATGGGGGAATGGATCCCTATAGTAGTCCCTAAAAAATCCCCAATAATAGTCCCCATAACCCATGCCCCTATTCCCTACTAAGAACCAGACAGTCAACTTGCGCCGGCCGTGAGACCTGGCCCCCAAGCCCCAAACCCTAAACGCTACACCCTAAATCCTAAAGGGTCAGCCATAAAGCCAAACCTGCACCCTAGCCCTAAGCCAAAACCCTACTCCCAAACACCAGAACCCAAATCAACCATATAGTACGCCTCAAACGGGGCAGACATATGGGTAGTTCCCTAGAGTATTCATATTGTGGTCCTTTTCACAGGGGTGCGGTATTGCTTTGGGGGATCTAAAGGTGGACTTTAACTTAGACAACTAACTGCCCATGTCAATTTGGAACTCGTTCAAGCCTGGCCGTCAGCCTCAAAGCTCCTCCAACTTCCATTCGAAGCCGAGACCTCGACCTTTCGGGTCGAGTGTTTAAGTTAGTTGTATGTATGCATGTATGTATGTATGTATGTGTGTATTGTATGTATATATATATATATATACATTTAGCAGATATGTGTGTATGTGGTTGTATGTGTCAACATTCGCGTATAAAAACATATGTAGGGAGAGAGACAGGGAGAGAGAGAGTTTAGCCTTCAAACTTTCTAGAAACTGTAAACAGTTTGGGCCCCAAAAAGTGTTTATTTAGCTCAACAAATCGTGGCGGAAACGTGTTGACTGGGTTGTTTTCGAGCTGGGGCCCGGCTGTGCCTTCGTGGGCGCTGGGTTCCTTAGGGGAGAAACCCCTTTGTAAACCATAGCCCTAAAGCCCTAAACCCCTGAAGCGCATCCTTTCTTTAAGGGCTGGCCTCAGTACCTTGATAGCATCCCCTAAGAAGGACCCCTTTAAAGGAACCCTGTTCTAATCATTACTGTACTTAGTTGCTGAGTTCATAAGCCCCAAAAAGTGTGCGCTTTCAGTTTCATATTGGCTGATATTGTCCCCAAAAAGCTAAGTTAACGGAACACTTAAAGGAACCCCTAAAGACACCCCAAAAGGAACCCCTAAAGGGACCCCTAAAGGAACCCTTACAGGAACCCCTAAAAAGACCCCTACCCTTAAAGAACCCCTATAAAGGGACCCTTAAAGGAACAGAAAGGTACCCATTAAGGGGGCGGGGAGCCTTGCATCCGAGAGAATGCATCCTTGAGGAAGGCGCGCCCTTCTTCGGTGGTGCAGTTTTGGGACACACGGAGTCTCAGAGAAGTCAGCTCCTGGGTTTCCCACTTTTGGGGCTTGGGGTGCTTAGGGATTTAGGGTTTGGGGTTGAGGGGTTGAGGGGTTTAGGGTTGAGGGTTGAGGGGTTTAGGGGTTTAGGGTTAAGGGTTTAGAATTTGGGGTTTGGGGGCTTGAGGTATGCCTTTACATACGCAGGATACCCGGTTTCCTGGTATCTATTTTGAGACACGCCTAAAGATCAAAGGATAAAGGGTAGTACTTGGGAACCTAGGCTCCTTCAGCTGGCCCAGGCCGGTTGCTAGGGCGAAGCAGCCACTGGCCTCGATCCTGTTCTCTGCAACTGCCAGGCTTAAAGCCTGAGCTTTGAAGTAACCAGGGAGAAAAAATATGAACGTTCATTTCATAATGGTTCCATTAAGGAAAAAAGTATTACAGTATGGTACCCTAAACCCTAAGCCCAGAAGCAGTCAGGTGCTGCAGTTGGCCCAGCGTCTTCGCTAAGGCATCGCAGCCCTGCCCCGTGAGGCAATCTCTCTCCAGGTCCAGGCCTCTTTGAAGTGGCCAGAGAGAAGGGTTTAGGGTTTAGGGTTTGACTTCTATTTCATAATGGCTCCTTTTACTTTAAGTAGGCCTAAGCCCCAAAGAAGTCTTGAAGTACGGTACTCCAAAGCCCAGAAGCTCAGGGAACGGAGCTTCTGCAGCTGAGCAAGTGATCCCAGTGCGTTCACCAAGCCGGTGCAACCCACAACCTGGGCTCTTGTTCTTGTTAAAGAAATGTAACTTAAGGCGTCATAATAAGGAAACCCTCATATTTGCCGCAGATCCCTAGATCAACTTAGACGAAGTTCCCCAATAAAATGATAAGGAAACCCGATGATGTCCCAAAGATCCCTGTATTCTGGTAACTTGAGCGAAGTTCCTTAAGACGAGCCCAGCAGCCGAACCGATGGCTCCCCTGAGACCCAAGTGGAGGATCTCCACTCGCTGGAGTTTCCCCAGGGCCTGTCCAAAGGCCGTGTACAAAGAGGCCCACCGGGTCTTGCCAAGCTCTCCTATACTGAACTTAGAACCCTCGCAAAAATTATGATTTTAGCTGCTTCTCAGGGATTTTCATAACCAAAAAATACAAACTATTTCTAAGTATCCCTAAGTCTCGTTGGAGAAGGAGGTGTCGATTTTTCGGCCGCTTCTCCATGTCCAGGCTCACGAAAGCGAGGTCCCGGAGCTGAGAGAGCGTCTGTGTCCAGGCAGTCAGTGCTATGTCCTTCCTCCACCTGGGTTGCAGTTTAAATCATTCCTCATGAGGACAACTCACAATATCATCCTAGTGCCACCTAGCAAGAAAAACATCAAACAACCCTTCAAACATCTCAATCCCCGAAAAATCTCCACCCCGAGGTCCCGAAACCCAGCCACGTGTTGAATCCGATGTCCAAGCTCAGGGAGGAAAGCTCGGGAAGCTGCCCCAAGACCTTTGCCAGATCACGGCATCCGGCGTCTCCTTATGTCGGCGAGCTCAAGGATAGCCTTTTTCAACCAATATATATATATATATATACATATATACATATATATATATAGGGAGTCTAGTGACTAGTGCCCCCAAAAAAGATAAAAGACTAAGTACACTGTTTTTCGGAGTCTCCCATGCAGTTGGACCTCAAGTTCAAGGTCACATGTTTCAGCTGCTGCAGCCGACGAAGTGCTGCGCTCAAAGCACGGAAGCCTGCGTCTCTGATAGAGTTGCAGCTCATGTCCAAGCTCCTGGGTTCTTGGTTTAGGGTTTGGGGTTTAGGGTTTAGGGTGCCCAAGCACAATCTGGGTTCTTCTTAAGGATCTTAATGGGAGTTTCCGAAAATTAGGGGTACCTTGTTTAAGGGTCCTTATAATCAGGATCCTGCTATGTAGGGTACTAAATTAGGGTCCCCTTTTTTCGGAAACTCCCTAGTTTAAGTTACCATAATGGGGCTTATAGTGAATATTATGGTTTCTTGATGATGGTAGACTTAAATTAAGTTCCTTAACAAGAGCCCAGACTCATGGTTGTGAGCCACTGCAACTTGCCGAGTGCATCTGCCAGGGCAGTGCACCCCAAGTCGTCCACGAAGTTATCGGCAACATCCAAACCAATAGATCTCAGCTGCTGCAGCTGGCTTAGTGCTCCTGCCAAGGTACTGCACACTGAAGCTCCAGCCCTGCGATGTCTTGCTGCACTGGCCAGGTATAGCTCCCGAAGATGACCCACCACTCCTTTCAAAGCCTTGGGTGAAGCTTCGATCGTGCGCCGCCGAAGACTCACCAGGGTGACGTGCCGTAGCCTTCTCAAATTTCCCACTGCCTGGGGATTCCGAAACTAGGAGACCCTAATATAGTACCCTAGAGAGTGGGATCCTTATAAGGACCCCAAAATAAGGTGCCCCTAATTTTTGGAAACTCCCGGCCTCCAGGTACTCCGCCCAGGCGTCACCGCTGATTTCCTTGTTCCCCCGGAAGCTAACCCTCATGCTGGTGAGCTGCTGCATTTCGCGCAAGTTCAGTGCCCAAAGTAGGCACCCTGTGTTGTTGATCTGGTTGTCATCGAGGTGCAAGTTCATGGTGGTGAGCTGCGGCGAGTGCCGAAGCTTTTCTGCCAAAGCTCTGCAGCCTTCATCACCGATAGAGTTGGACCTCAAATTCAAAGTCACGGACTGAAGCTGCTTGAGCTGGCCCAACGCCTCTGCTAAGGCAGTACATCCAGCATCTTGGATCGACCTGGGAGTTTCCGAAAATAGAGATTTTAATATAGTACCCTAAGTAGTAGGAGCCCTATTCTAGGGACCCCCTAATACGGTACCCCCTAATTTTCGGAAACTCTAATTGAAACCCGCCTTATAGCACCCTTTAAAGGAAGGTACCCCTAATCGGAAACTCTAAAAACCCTTCTAGAGCCCTTTAAAGGGACCCTTATAGTACCCTTATAGTAACCCTTGAAAGGACCCCTAAGGTACCTCAGAAGCCTTATAGATCCCTTTAAGGAACCCTTATAGATCCCTTTTAAAGGTACCCCTAGTTTTCGGGAACTCCCACATGGACCTTGCTTTCATGTCCAAGCTCAAGGATGTGAGCTGCTGCAACTTTCCGATGGCAGGTAGCACGTCGCAACCTCGGCAAAGGACGAACCCCAAAAACCTCCGAAACCCGAAGGCCGTACATTAGGGTTTAGGGTTTAGGGTTTGGGGTTCAGGGTTTAGGGTTTAGGGCTTCGTGAGGTTTGAAAGGCTTAACCGCGGAAGATCCGAGCTGAAGCCTACCTCAACTCTCTGAAGCCGCAACCCTCAAGCGCTAGCCCTCCATCCAAAAACCCAAACCCCAGGCTCTCAACTCCTCCGCCCTGTAAGCCCTCATCCCTGAACCCTAAACCCCAAACGTTAAACCCTGATAAGCCCTCATCCCTGAGCCGCCCACAAGGCTCGCTTTGCATCGTGAGCTTCAGCCGCATCAACGGAGAACCCAGGGCGGAGATGATCTCAACGAAACGAAGCACCTGCTCCTCACCTCACTTTGCAAGACCACTTTGTACAAGCGGGATTATGAGGGTTCAGCGTTCCTTTAAGGGTTCTATAGCATTTACGGTGTAGGTTTAGGGTAGTTTTAAATGGGGTCCTAAGTCCCCTAATACGGGTTTAAAAGTATCGTTACCCTACTTGTAGCTCTAATATGGCTACCCATGAAGCTTCAGGCAACCCGAGTGAAAAGACACGCTGCTGCAATAGCCCATGCATGTGTCTCTATATACACCTATATGAACGGATCGACCAATATGAAGGGAGGAAGGCAGCCGGGCAGCCAGGCAGGCAAGAGAGATAGATAAATGGACAGATAGGCAATAGACAGGTTGGTAGATAGACAGACCGAGTGGGTGCTTGATTGAATGGCAGCTAGACAAGCGGGTAAATGTTGGATTATGCACATACGCCTAGCCTGTATGTTGCTGCTGCTACATACGAGTAGAGCATCGATAGTACTTTAGGCAATCTTTTTAGCTCTGCGCCTGTGCTGCCACCGACGCTAATTTGAAACCGCGGGTGCTCTTGATCTGAAAACACTGACGAGCTCCTTTTGGGTTCAGAGTTTCTTGAGGCTAAAACCTAAACCCTAGGGGTTAAGGATGGTTAAAGGCCCAGGTTTAGGGCCAGCTCTGGAATCAGTTCTCCGTCCGCGGAGTCTCAGACTAAGTCCAGGGCTGGTAAGCAGGAGGCTCAAGCTGTCGGCCTTTTGATACTCGGTGTCGCCAGGCTCCTTGCAATGGCCAAGCAAAGGCTAGCTGGGGTAGCCTTCAGGGTCTACGGCCTCGGCGTTCGAAGGTAGGATTTTCCCTGGGGCCAGAGGTTGATTGACTTCAGGAGTACTGCCAGAACCACGACTGCCTAAATTCCTTAAACCCTAAACCCATGAAACCTCCATCCAGAAACCCTTTAATGGCGCCACGTGTTTCATCCACTCGGGAATTGAGGTTTCTCCCTCTGCTCTTCGTAGCTCCCATGTCCCACAAGATGCACCGTGCCTCTGCATCGATGAAGAAACCGACGTCCCGGTGAACCACTTCACGCTTGCGGCCCTGCATTGCAGCTTGGGCGTAGTGGCCCGGGGGCCGGGAACATAGGTAGCAGCCAACATCAGCAAACTACGGTGAAGACAACTCCGGATTCTGGATGAGAGCGACTTGCTTTCAGAAAGTTGCAAGAGCTGCTAATCTGTCATGTGCTATACTTTGTTGTACACAAAACCCTAATTAAGCCCTCTATCTCTCTCTCTCTCTCTCTCTCTCTCTCTCTCTCTACCAGCCATTCGAAACGTCAAGAGACCCTAAGCCCTTTTTACACAGAATGCTTTGAACCCTAAACCCTGAGCCTTGGCGTACTTGAAGATCGTCAGGGCGCAAGGCCCAATGTCGTTTTCGCTGACGTCCAGCTTCGTTAGTTCTGGGTTGTTCGCCTGGCGAATTTCTCATCATCCGCCAAGCTGACTGAAGTCCGTTTTGGGGGGCTTGAGGGTTAAGGGGTGGGAGTGTGTTTCGGGGTTCAGCGCCAGTTGGCTTCAGGGTGTAGGCAGGGTTTTTCTATACCGCAAGTATGTTCAGGATGTTCGGGAACCTTACAGACTGGACTTTGAGGTCAAACACCAGACTTGAATTCCCCCTGCAGCCGCTGCAGCCTGCCTTGACCAATGCCACGACACCGTCCTTGATATTGTTCTTGCGCAGGCTAAGGCTTTTCAGCGCTTTGTTCTGTTCCAGCGCCTCCGCACAGAGGCCGCCGCAGATGCACTCAGTTGCCCTATGCTCTGGACGTGTACTGTGAGGCAGAGAGTCCCCAATTAAACCACTTAGAGGATCATGGGACTTAGTAAGTATGGCTATAAGTACCTTAATTGGGGTTATAAGTATTTGTAAGTACAGTTATCTTAATTAACACCTCTCCTGACCTCCGATCAAGAGTTCAGGGCCTCGGCACATGCACTCGCACAGGCAGGCTCGGCTTCCAGCAAGAGTCCAGGCAACCATCTTGCTACCGGGATATGTGGGTTATATATATATATATATATTTGTATATATAGGGTTTGGGATTCAAGTTTGGGGTATATAGTCTCTAAATATTCCGCAGCAAGCAATCTGCTTTTGTTTGTAAGCGGTGATTCGACCGTGCACTGCCGCGGCAACGTCCCCAACAAGGCTAATGTCGGGGCCTCAAAAATCAGAATTGACTGTTGGGGCATATTTAAAATCAGAAAAATCCTAAGAATTATAAGATTAAGAACCCCCAAGAGTAGCATAGGTAATTATTTAGGCCCCTATATTATGAACAGCCAGCCTTCGCAAGGGCACATGCACTGCTGTCATCCATGCCGCTCTGGTCCACAGACAATGCCAGAATCTGCATATGCATAATGGCCTGCGAGAGTCCAGAACCTCTATGCACACAGCTTGTGGGGGAAAGCACTTCTCCTGTTTGGTGCGGGTCCGGGTCGGGCCGAAAAACCCGACTGGCTACAACAGCAAGGCGTCAACCTGAAATCCCAACCACTGCACGCCAGCGAAGAATCTCTCCCTCCGAAAAAACCCTCCCACACCCTAATCCCAACCTCGCAAACTCCAAAGTTTCAAACGCCCCGCATTTCGCAAAGCACTCCGATATCGACACGTCCAATCATGAAGCTCCCTACTCTACAGCGAGTGAAAGTAGGGAAAGTACTGATGAACGACGCCTAACACATGTGAGCGCAGGGAACAACCGCTTGTGGGAGCACGCCTAACACATGTGAGCGCAGCGAACAACCGCTTGTGGGAGCAAAACCCTGCACCCTACCGCATACTGTAGGCGCCTTGATGGAATAGGGCTTTTTGGGGCTGTACCTGTACTTATAAGGGGGAGCCAAGGGAAAAGTTTTGCAACTTTTGTTCAGGCCCCTGAATGAATTCTGCTTCCTCCATCGAATGCTTGGCACCTTGAGCATGCTTGGGAGCTGCACAGGGAGCTTGCAATTCGTGATCTCAAGAGTCCTGGGCCGACAAAAACGATGAGGGTTTAGGGGTTTTAGGGCTTTAGGGGTTTAGGGTTCAGGCTTTAGGCTTTAGGGGTTTAGAGGGGTTTATAGGGTTTTGGGGTTTAGGGTTTTCGGGTTTTGGGGCTTTAGGATCTCGGTCTAGGGTTCTTTAAGGGCTCGTTTAGGGCTTTAGGGGATCTATAAGGGTTACTATAAGGGCACTATTTCTTCAATTAACGGTACCATAGGATCTTGGGTTTAGGGTTTGGGAGTTTGGGGTTTAGGGACCTTCCAAACTTAGCCGGAATGCGCATTTCAGCAAAGAAACCGTATGGTAATTCCAAAGAAGAATAGAAAACAATCTGTCTTAGACAGACCCAGCTAGAAGGCACTGTTGCGGCTATCAGCACTGTTAGAGTTAGACGACATGCAGCACTTGCGGGTTCAGTTCAATGTGCAGCCAATGTCGTGTGTCTGGCTCAACTCGCTTGGTTTGGCATGCTCGTGTTCGCATGTTCCTGGTGCTTGCTCTTGAGCTGGTGTGCGTTTTGACAACAACGAAAGAAGTCGCCTGAACGTGGATCACTTGCCTTGATCATGCTGCTGCGGAGTGGCTTGCTGCAGTAAAGGTGGCAGACACTGGTATGCAGACAGCATTGCACACATTGCGAGACAAACTGGGGACTCGTGACGAAAACACTCTTTAAGGTGCTGTAATAGGGTTCTCTGCTCGGGTTCCCTTCACGGTACTCTAATCCCTTGTTAAGCACGGACTTGCAGTGTATTATAGCACCTGAAGCCTAAACCCTTTATTGGAACAGGCATGCCTCGCCTTGACTTGGCTTCCTGCACAACCCGGGCCGCGTTCTCACCGAGGGTTTGAACAAACCAACCGTTCCCAGCTTCGGATGTTGCTTTGCACTCTCACAATGGCACAGTCTTTTTGTTATCCAAGGCGCAAAGGGGATCCGAAACAAATGTCCCGGCGCCCACCCCCCCCCACCGCCCCGGCCGATCCCAACGTCCCTGTGGTGAAGTTGCGATGAAACGATAAAGCATCGAATCTTCCCGGTTCAGGCATTACGCGGCTGCTAGCAATGCAGATAAGGTTGGGCGTTCTCTCTTCACAGTTTGCGACATTTGTGAATCCGCCCTCCTGCCTCATGCCGGCGTCCCTTGCCATTCCGCCACATGTCATGCAAACCGTAGCAGGTCATCAACACCAACCTCTTGCCCAAAGCGCCACTCGTTTCCACATCCGGCAGCATTCGTCTGTGATGTTCCATGCTGAGATCCCAGCCCAAAATGGTAATGCGCGCTCTCGCGAATGCTTCGTTCGCTACCGGAGGTCAACATTGGAGCCTGATGGCTTCACACTCCGGGTCTGCGATCCTTTCGGTGCTCTTTGCTGTAACAGCTGGCCAATGCTTGTTTGTGCTGCGCCTCTTTGAAACTAGTCCCTTATTGGGGAGATTGCACTCCCTGGGTTATTGCAGAGGACCTGGCAAGTTGTACGGAGGAGGGCCAGCCACTGCCGTAGCCAAAGGCCAGCACCACAACCAACAGGGTATCAAGCTCTTAAACTCTTAAATTAAGGACCCATTGACATGACGACGCTCTTTAAGAACTGAGAGCACGTGTTGATTTGCTGGGTCACCGTGTTCACGATCCAGTCAGTCAAGGCTAGGGCTTCGGTAGCTCTGCTAAGCGAGCGACCGCCCAGAACAAGACAGGAGCGGACCTGCACAACAGAGGAGCGACCCGGCAAGACGACAAACTGCAGCTCTTCAGCTGGTCTTTGGCACGAGTCCAGGGGAGATTAAGGAGTGGCAAAGGAGCGTGACGATATTATTTCGTTAGTTCAAGCAGACGAGCCCATGGCCTACCTGGCCGGCCACTTTCCTTGCCGAGATACTCAAGACCTGTGTAGTGCTGCAGGGTCTCCATGGCAGATTCAAGCTCCCTCTCTCCCAGCGAAGAGAGCTTCAGCTCTTTGATGGCCTTCGCCCTATACTGGAAGACTCGCAGCTGCAGCTGCCTGACGAACTTGGCGTCCTGGGCATGCGAAAACGTGAGGCCACCCTCCTTCACCTGGGCGGTTCTCAAAATCATGGTCCTATTTGGGTCCCTTTTATAATACGGCACCTATTATTATTTAGGGTACCCCAAAAAGGGACCCTAATTTTGACAACCACCCACCTGGGTTTCGAAGGCTTCGGGCGTCATCGGCAGCTCGCCTGCAGGGTCTGCCTCGGTGCTATCCACCTCCCAGGACCGGGAGGTGGCAGTGCGGCTCGCCGACCACTGCGTCTCCGAAAAGCACCATCCGCGCTTCAGGAATGGAACTTCATTCAAGAGAAGGTCCGACACGGCCTAAGTTCTTGTGGAACCTAATCGTCGGTATCGATTTTGTTGGGATTTCATGCTAGTGACAGTACTGGATACATCTTCAGTACCGCAAACAAAAAACGACGGAATCAAGAACCAAGCTGCTACCTCCTTCACGCACTTCTCAGGCTCGAAGTACACTTTGAGCCGTTTGGCATTCTCGTGCTTCCACTCGGCAGGCGTGAGACGCGCAATGCGCAGCGTGCGCGTGTGCTCGTGCGCATACATCGCGTGTATGCCTTGCACGGCCCTCTGGTAGCATTGCTCCTCGTCGGAACTTCTGACGAACTGGAACAAGGACATATAATCCAAGAATACCCACGGTTTCGGCCGCTTGGAGGACAGTGCTAGTCCTTTCGCCGAAATCTCTCCACCCTCCACCGACATCTCCGCTGTCTCCCTCGATCGCTCTTGCCAGAACTCCTCCAGAGCGAGGAAACCCTAAACCCTAAACCCTGAACCCTAAACCCTAAACCCTAAACCCTGAACCCTAAACCCTAAACCCTAAACCCTAAACCCTCAAGAAAATGATAAATAGAAATTGCTTGTCCTTGTTTGTAACCACCGCTAAGGCCCAGCATTTCGGATAAAACTGGCGTTAGCTTCTTGATAATCCAATTTCGCACAACCACAACCTCAACCATTAACTCAACCCAGCCAACTCAAAACAGCCACCCGATCAAAAACGGAACAAGCTTCTTGATAAACCAATTTCTCCATAACCTCCAACCCAGGCCCACCTTCCAATCCCCCAAATCCAGGTCCCAAACCCCAAATCCAGAATCCAGGTCCAGCCCCAAATCCAGGCACCAGGCCCTCCAAGCCCAGGCCCCAGACCCCAGGCCCCCAGGCCCACCCCAAATCCAAGCTTCAAAAATCCAGCCCCAAATCCAGGCCCAGTCTCAAATCCAGGCCCCAGACCCCAAATCCAGGTCCAGTCCCAAATCCAGGCCCCAGGCTCCAGACCCCAAATCCAGGCCCCAGGCCAGGCAATCCAGATCCCAAACAGCCCCAAATCCAGGCACCAGCCAGACCCCAGGCTGGCCCCAAATCCAGGCCCCAGCCCCAAATCCACACCCCCACTCCCAAATCCAGGCCCCTAAATCCAGGCCCCACATCCCAAATCCAGGCCCAGTCCCAAGTCCAGGCGCTCCACACCCCAAATCCAGGCCCACCCCAAATCCAGGCCCAGTCCCAAATCCAGGCACCAGGCCCCAAATCCAGGCTGCAGTCCAGCCCAGTCCCAAATCCAGGCCCCAGGCACCAAATCCAGGCCCCAAATCCAAGCCAGGCTGCAGGCCCCAAATCCAGGCCCCAGACAAAGCCAGGCCCAGGAATCCACGTCCAGTCCCAAATCCAGGCCCCAGGCCCCAAATCCAGGCTCCAGACCCCAAATCCAGGCCCAATCCCAAAAGCCTGGTGCCTGGATTTGGCTGGACCTGGATTTGGGCATTGGCATGGAGACTGTGGTTTTTTGGGGGGGCTGGATTTGGGACTGGGCCTCGATTTGGGGTGGGCCTGGATTGGGGGGGCCTGGATTTGGGTGGATTTGGGGCCTGTGGGCCTGGATTTTTGGATTTGGGGTCTGGAGCTTGGATTGGGGCCCTCCAAGCCCAGCCCAAATCCAGACCCAGTCCCAAAAGCTTCAAATCCAAGTCAGTCCCAAATCCACGCCCAAGAAATCCAGGCTCCAGACCCCAAATCCAGGCCCAGTCCGAAAAGCCAAGCTCCAAACCCCAAATCGAGGCCCCAAATCCAGGCCCCAGACCCCAAATCCAGGCCCCCCAGGATCAGGCTCCAGAGGCCCACCCCAAATCGAGGCCCAGTCCCAAATCCAGGCCCCCCCAGAGCCCCAGCCCCAAAGCTCCAGCTCCCCCCCCTCAGCAAATTTCAAAACATGATTCGCAAAAAAAAACGTTTCGTTCAAAACGTTTCGGTCAAAACGTTTCGGTCAAAAGGTGTGAGTTCAAAAGAAGAAACGTTCCCTTGAAAAGTTTCGGTGAAAACGTTTCGTTGAAAACGTTTCGTTGAAAACGTTTTTGGCCCCCCCCCCCCCCCCCCCCCAGGCCCCACAAGCCCCCCAGCAGCCCCAGTCCCAGCAGCCCCACCAGCCCCAGCAGCAGCCCCCCACACTTTCGTTCGAAACGTTTCGTCGACAAGCTTTGGGGACTCAATTTCTGTGATGGTTCGACCCCAGCCCAGCCCCAGCCCCCGCCCCCGCCCCAGGACGGTCAAATCTCGCTCCGCTCCAAAGTTTCGTCCAAAACGTTTCGCAGCCCCCCAAGAAATTTGAAAACATGGTTCGCAAAAAAAAAACTCCGCCCAAAACTTCCAGTCAAAACTTTCGCACAAAACGTTTTTGGGACCCAAACCCTTAACAATTTCTATAAACCCTGAACCCTAAACCCTGAACCCTAAACCCTAAACCCTAAACCCTGAACCCTAAACCCTGAACCCTAAACCCAAAACCCTAAACCCTAAACCCTAAACCCTGAACCCTAAACCCTGAACCCTAAACCCTAAACCCTAAACCCTGAACCCTAAACCCTGAACCCTAAACCCTAAACCCTAAACCCTAAACCACAATCCTCCAGAGCGAGGACAATCCTCGAAAGCTGATACCCCCAGGGATCAGGATGCTCCCGGGCCTCCCAGCCTGGGTTCTTGTTACCTTTAAAGGTAAAGGGATCTATAGGGATTCTATAAGGGTTATAGGGTTTAGGGTTGAGGGATGGGGTTTATAGCCTTAAGGATCTTGTTACCCTAAGGACTCATATAGGGCTCCTTTAAAGGGATCTATAAGGGGTCCTTTAAAGGGATCTATAGGGTTTAGGGATCTAAGGACTCATATATTGAGGCTTTTGGGCCCCAAAGAGCATACTATATAAGGCTTTTGGGATATTTTGATCCCTAGGGTTAAGGAATTCAATTCAATTACCATACGTTACTAGGGATCCATAGGAAATACTGGGGATCTTGTTTTTTGGAACTCAATTTCAGTTGCCATACTAGGGCTCTATAGGAAATTATCAGTTACCATACTAGCGATCTATAGGACATACTCAGTTACCATACTGGGAATATAACGGAAATAATAAGGTTTCCGTATTCTGGCAACTTAAAGTAAGTTGCTTAACAAGAGCCAAGCAACAGTGCGAGACTGAAATGATGAGGCTCACCTCGGACTCATCCCGTCTCGCCCACTCCAGCACCTGGCGCACATGCATATTCATGCACGTCAGTTCTACGTCAAACCGCATCTGTTTCGATGCAGCTCAGATACGGGCCTGGGGTGTGTGTGGGGTACTGGTCTAGAGTTTATGGTAAGATTCAAACGCTTTCAATCTGCTCATGTTTCTTGTAGACATGGGTTTAGGGTTTAGGGTTTACGCCTCGTCGTGCGTCACAAGATCCTCCAGGTGGTCCTTCTCTGCTTCCTGCCGCCGTGGCAGCCGCTCTTTATCTTCCTGAGTTGGCCTTTAAACACCCTGAAAAATATTTACATATAGGGTCCCTTATAAACCCAAATAAGGAAAATAAAAAATGTCCCAAAATCCAACCTATCTTCGTGCAGCTTCTGCAGGAATTCCGTGCGGACCTGAAGTCTGAACCACGCGACGGTTTAGATGGGGTTTTGGGCTTAGGGCTTAAGGTTTAGGGTTTGCGTTTTTTTTGTTTGTTTTTAACACTCCTTTTTCTGCCGTGGTATGACGAAAAGCGGATATTCCGCTGGGCAGCATGCGCAGGAATATATCTGGCACGCAGACTCAGACACCTCAAGTCCCCCCGAGAAAATGCATACATGGAGGTTCATGGGTACTTATAAGTGTGCTAATAAGTCCCCTAATTCTAGGGTTCCTTTAAAGGTTCTACAGGGTTTAGGGTTTAGGGTAGTTATAAGTGGGCTAGTAAGTCCCCTAATATGGGTTATAAGTATAGTTACGCAACTTATAACCCCACTTAGAACTACCCATGAACCTCCAAGTACTCCTCTGTCAGCATACCGCAAACCCTTGACCCTACCCGATCCCTAAACCCCTAAGCCAGCATGTCTAAATAAACCCAGCAAGCCCTAAAAGCCCTTTTTTTGCCACTGGACTCAAGTCTAGCCAGTCTACGACCCCGCTAAAAGCCCTAAACCCGAAACCCCTTCAGAACTCTAGAGCACTCTAAAGAATGCACAACCTCCCAAGGGCCGTGCGAGTCGAATGTTGGCATCCACCAGGAAGTGAGCTAGAGCTTCCCGGTCGCTCAGATCGTACTGCTTCGCCTGGTATGCGGCTTAGGGTTTATAGGCTTCAGGGGCTTAGGAGTTTAGGGTTTAAGGTTTACACTCTCGCAACTCGGACTTGCCAGACGAGGTCAGGGTTTACGGTTTGAGGTTTTGGGCTTAGGGCGTCGGGGTTTAAGGCCATGGGCTTACGAGCTTTGAGGGTTTAGGGCTTCTCTTAAGGGTTTAGGCTCTCGCAACTCCGACTTGCCAGGCGAGTTTTAGACAAAGGTTCAGGGATAAGGTTTTCGGGTTAAAACTTTAACCCTAAACCCTTTTGCTGCGGGCTTGCTTGCAAGGACGCCTGGTAGTTTGTTAGCATTTAGGGCTTGAAGGGTTTGGCTCCTTTAAACAGCCCTTCTAGAGGAACCCTCTAAAGGAACCCGTTCTATAAAATAAGCGAAGCACCTAGATTACAGATATCTAAAAGGTGGTCTTTCGGTGTGCTCCTCTGCAGCTGTAGGAACTGCTGGTACACGGGCTATCTTTTCGACCTCGATCTTCTCGTCCGGAGGCAGCACCTGCTGTTCAGTTTCTAAGGCATGCCGATGCCGGAGTCCAGCGTGCTGGGGTGCAGGCTTGAGATTTCATAAGTTCTGGCGGCGAAATCTACGAGAGATACGTGCAGATACTTCAAGTCCTCAGCAAGACACTTAGCCGTCTGCCTGACCTTCGGGGCAGTCTCGATGCCCTAAACCCTAAACCCTCAACTGCCAATGCTGTGCGCCGATAACTCAGCTTACTGGACAAATCCTGTCAGGCAAGCTGTAGTCCACTGTTCAACCAAACTACCCTGCAGTGCGGGCTAGTCCTTGCGAAGTAAGAGCGAAAAACCCACTTCGATTTGGGAGGGGACCCTAAAAAGCACCCTAAATAGTAGGAGCCTTATCATAAGGACACCAAATTAAGGTATCCCTACTTTTTGGAAACTCCCATTTCGATTTATATAGCCCTTTAAAGGGGCCCTTATAGTACCCTTTTAGTAACCCTTTAAAGGAACCCGTAAGGTGCGTGTGGATGCCTGGCTTTCAGCTGGAGGATCAGCTGATGGACTTCCGCCCGTCTTGAGGCTCTTCTCCCGGCGCAGCGGCGCCTGCTGCGTTCTCAATCTAGGGCC